AGCTTTTATTGTGCAATCACCTTGCCTCATTCATATTGCAGAGTCTAGAAGTTATCTTCAATTTGTGGCTTTCTCGTTAGAGTTACCAGATCAACAATAGTCAACTTCAGGACCAAAACCTAGTCTGAGGAGTACAGTCCTGTCACATCACACAGGCGATGATGCCCTGTGATGTCATAGAAGCAGGGCAGGCAAGGAGGGGCAGAGCTGCTTGCAAGTCAGTTGATTCTGGAAAGAGGCCAAAGATGTTCCTCCTCACTCTCTGCCTTGTTCCAAACGGTGTAACGGCATGAGTCTGTCCACCATCTCTCTCATCAAAATCCTCCACCAGTATTGCTCACACTGAGATGTTTCTCTCTTTTTGGAGGCCAGAGGAACAGCTGTGCTTGACTGAAGCCCCAGGACTTTCTGATTAGCAGGACTATGCCACCACCTCCCACCACCCTCGGCTTCCCTGTTCCATGTGAGTTTAACCATAATTGTCACAGAAAGCAGCATAGAAATTGTTTTTTTTCCCCAGAAATAAGATATTGCTGAAAGATATCTCTCTAGAAATTAAAAAGTATTTGGTCTTGACTGGGCAGTTAAGAGCCATTAGCCTTATCAAGGACCTGTCCCACATTTATTGAGATGGACCGATCCAGCTGCCTAAATTTTTGGACTCTTCTTTTTGGGGGGGGGGCGGTTGGGCCTATTTTCCAATATCTGATTGGAAAATCTAATTGACGTCACACTCTGTTTGAAAACACAGGTGCGCAGCTCAAGGTTTCTCCTGGATTCACCCCTGAGCCCAGGTTTTGGTGGTGGCCAGGAATATATAGTATAGTATAGTATAGTATAGTATAGTATAGTATAGTATAGTATAGTATAGTATAGTATAGTATAGTATAGTATAGTATAGTATAGTATAGTATAGTATAGTATAGTATAGTATAGTATAGTATAGTATAGTATAGTATAGTATAGTATAGTATAGTATAGTATAGTATAGTATAGTATAGTATAGTATAGTATAGTATAGTATAGTATAGTATAGTATAGTATAGTATAGTATAGTATAGTATAGTATAGTATAGTATAGTATAGTATAGTATAGTATAGTATAGTATAGTATAGTATAGTATAGTATAGTATAGTATAGTCTGCCAATCAGCTGTTTTAAAAACGTCGTTTGGTGAAGAATTGGTTCCCGAAGCAGGGAACCGATCATCGGGAAGCGAATTTTGCCTATTAAAACATTGTTTTGCTATAGCAAAAGCGATTGCAAAAGAGCCATCATATAGCGGTTTCATCATTTAACGATGTAATCGTTAAGCAAGGCACCACTGTATAATATAGTATACAGTGGACCCTCGACTTACAGATGGCTCGACTTACAGACTTTTCGAGTTACAGACTTCTTTGGCTGCAAAATTTAGATTCGACTTGCAGCCGGAGAATCGACTTACAGACCAGAAAAAAACCAAAATGGAACAAAAATAGAATAAAAACCGCCGGTTATGGGATTAATCGGTTTTCAATGCATTGTAGGTCAATGGAGATTCGACCTACAGACTTTTCGACTTGCAGCCACCGTTCCAATACGGATTAATTCCGTAAGTAGAGGGTCCACTGTAGTACAATACAGTACAGTACAGTACAGTACAGTACTATACAGTACTATACTATACTATACTATACTATACTATACTATACTATACTATACTATACTATACTATACTATACTATACTATACTATACTATACTATACTATACTATACTATACTATACTATACTATACTATACTATACTATACTATACTATACTATACTATACTATACTATACTATACTATACTATACTATACTATACTATACTATACTATACTATACTATACTATACTATACTATACTATACTATACTATACTATACTATACTATACTATACTATACTATACTATACTATACTATACTATACTATACTATACTATACTATACTATACTATACTATACTATACTATACTATACTATACTATACTATACTATACTATACTATACTATACTATACTATACTATACTATACTATACTATACTATACTATACTATACTATACTACATAGTAGTATATACTATACTACTATAGCTTCTTGAAAGGTCTGATCTGGCTATGGTGGCACATGCCCTAGTTACGTCTTGGCTGGGTAACTAACATGCTTTATGTGGGGCTACCTTTGGACATTGTTTGGAAATTCCAGATGGTCCAAATGACCACAGCCAGGATGCTAACTGGGGTTGGTCGCAGGGAACACATAACTGCCCTCTTACAGCAGCTCCACCAGCTGCCAATCTGTTCCTTGGCAAAGTGCTGATTTTAACCTATAAAGCCCTAAACAGCTTGGGTCGAAGCTATCTAAAAAACCACATCTCCCTCTATGAGCCTGTCTTGATTTTAAGATCATCATAGGAGGTCTTTCTCTCAGTCCAGCCACCCTCACAGGTGCGCTTGGTGGGAACATGGGAGAGAGCCTTCTCTGTTGTTGCTCCCAGACTCTGGAACTCCCTCCCATGGGAAGCTTGCTTGACCTCATCTTTGCTGCCCTTCCCTCACACAGGCAGAGACTTTTCTCTTCAGACAGGCTTTTTCTTCTTGACTGGTGGTCTGAGAGGGGTTTTTAAATGGGCTGTTGTGCTCTGTAAAAGGTGTTCCTTTAAATGTGTTTTCGTATTGATTTTGCTTACCATTTTTAATACTTGCTTAATTATTTCTTGTGGGCCGTGGTGGCTCTGCGGGTTAAACCGCAGAAGCCTCTGTGCTGCAAGGTCAGAAGACCAGCAGTCGTAAGATCGAATCCACGTGACGGAGTGGGCTCCCGTTGCTTGCCCCAGCTCCTGCCCACCTAGCAGTTCGAAAGAATGTAAATGTGAGTAGATAAATAGGTACCACCTCAGTGGGAAGGTAACGGCATTCCGTGTCTAGTTGCACTGGCCATGTGGCAACGGAAACTGTCTATGGACAAACGCTGGCTCTACAGCTTAGAGATGGGGATGAGCACCACGCCCTAGAGTCGGACACGACTGGACTAAATTGTCAAGGGAAGCCTTTACCTTTACCTAATTGTTTCTTGAAGACAGGAGGGCCTGGCGTGCTCTGGTCCATGGGGTCACGAAGAGTTGGACACGACTTAACGACTAAACAACAACAATTGTTTCTTAAACTTTTAAATATTTGTATACTTACTCTTTGAGCTTTTAAATATTGTCTTTTCAGTTATGTAAGTCACCTTGGGTCCTTTTTAAGGAGAAAGGCAGGGTAGAAATACTTTAAATAAATAAATAATAAAGTAAATAAACCAATTTGCAGACTGCAGAAGATGTGAAAAGGTTTTGCTTTTAGCTTTTCTGGGCCTTTCCCTCTTTTTAAGATGGACTGTTTGCAGCATAAGAATCTGCCTGGTGCAGTGAACAGTGGCTGAAACATGGTCTTAGGAGATGTAGGTTTAAATCCTCACTCAGCCATGGAAATTCACCAGGTGTACTATGATAAACCACTCCCTCACCATCACGTATAGCTTGAAAAGCCAGTTAGGGTTGCCATGAATAAGAAACAACTTGACAGCACATGACAGAAATCTGTACCATACAGTGAGTGAGCCTTAGATAATGCTTGCTTCAAGTACAGATGGAAAGAAAGTTTGTTAGATTTGACAATCCCAACAAAAGTAACATTTTCTCATCTCCTGAGAATGACTGCGAGACAAAACTCATGTTGAGAGAAGAATGTGCAACACTGTGAGCCTCAGTGGCCATTTCTGAGGGAAGAAAAGTATGCGCTAAAGAACGCATATTATGTTTAAATGCAGGCAAATAAAGTAAGTGGAAAAACTAGACAGAGAAAAGTATGCGCTAAAGAACGCATATTATTTTTAAACACAGGCAAATAAAATGAGTGGAAAAACTAGACAGAAAAACGTTTTATTTAAAGGGGGAAAGAGCTATACATTAGGAAAAAAATATTCATGAGGCTTTGCTGCAGGAAGCAAAACCAAAATCTTGCCATGCGATATGAAAAAAGGATGAGACTAAAATGTCAGTGAGATCGGCAGAAACCCAATGACATTGAAACCAAGAGATTTCCACCTCTCTTGCCGTGGCACACAGGTGCATCAGCTAAAAAGAGAAGGGCAGATTAACATCTTACTTTACAAATATTTTGTTCATGTACAAATGCATACAAATGTAATCAATTGATTAATTGGCTAAAATCCTTATAAAAAAGAGCTAAGATTTTATGAACCAAGTGACGACCTTATGCTGGATAACTCAGTGGTTTAAGGCAGTGGTCCCCAGCCTTGGGCCTCCAGATGTTCTTGGACTTCAACTTCCAGAAATCCTGGCCAGCAGAGGTGGTGGTGAAGGCTTCTGGGAGTTGTAGTCCAAAAACATTTGGAGGCCCAAGGTTGGAGACCACTGGTTTAAGGCATCTGGGAGTTCAATTGTCCATGGTGCTTCCTTGACAGGGGCTGGACTTGATGATCCATAAGATCTCTCCCAGCTCTACAATTCTGAGATGATTATTATATTTTTATCATATCTTTCCACATAGCTAAGGCTACAGTGTCATCGAAGCAACCAACATGAATTTGACCCAACTCCGGGAGGCAGTGGAAGACAGGAGGGCCTGGCGTGCGCTGGTCCATGGGGTGACAAAACATCGGACATGACTTAACAACTAAACAACAACAACAAGGCTACAGGACCACTTTCAATGAACAACCTAGTGCAGGCCGTATGAACAAGGGGACAGGTTCAAATTCCCAACTTGGTCCGTAACTTCTTCTCACCTTCATTTGCCTGTCTCATAATTAGGTCACAATGAGCTTCTGATGCAACCACCAAAGGCAGAACATAAGATGTGCCAGTATTAGCACCTGGCACCTTGGACCACTGCTGTTTCTTCTTAGCAGCTACAGTAGCCTAGTTTAGAAACGTTATGGTGTCAGAACAATTTGTTATGTAATTTTTCATTTCCTGGTCAAGCTGACCGAAGAGTTATAGACCACAAAGTATCTCTTCCATGCTTTGGAAACTCAACAAAAAGCTCCAGAAAGTGAGTAGCTGATCTAAGAGTTAGATCTGAATTATCTATTGTATTCATTTTTGGGAAATAATTCTTTGAGAAATTGAAGAGAATGTTCTGAAATTTGGGTGGGGGGGAATCATATGCTCATACTCAAAATAATATGAACAACAAGTGAATTTTACTAGCTATATGGAGGAAATGAAAGATTTTATGAGCTGTTACGCTATTCTCTATTATGCCTTTGTTCCCCCTAAAAGTAATATGTAACAAGTAATGTTACATATTTCCACGTTCTATACTTTAAAGCTTCTTCTTTTTCTGCCCTGGCACTGCAAGCATAGTTAGCAAGTAAGGTAAAGGTAAAGGTTCCCCTTGACATTTAGTCCAGTCATGTCCGACTCTAGGGCGCGGTGCTCATCCCCATTTCCAAGCCGTAGAGCCACCATTTGTCCAAAGACAGTTTCCGTGGTCACGTGGCCAGTGCGACTAGACACGGAATGCTGTTACCTTCCCACCGAGGTGGTACCTATTTATCTACTCACATTTTTACATGCTTTGGAACCGCTAGGTTGGCAGGAGCTGGGTCAAGCGACGGGAGCTCACTCCGTCATGTGGATTCGATCTTATGACTGCTGGTCTTCTGACCCTGCAGCACAGAGGCTTCTGTGGTTTAGCCCGCAGCGCCACCACACCCCTAGTTAGCAAGTAAGCCTCCATTGATTAAGAGGGTGACTAGAGTCACCCAGTGCTGTTCCAATGGCTGCCTCTGCCTCTTGTGGCTACAATGCTCATTTGTGTGAGGACCTCTTTGTCCAGAGGATCCTTTGACCTTCATGCCAGCCCTAAACAAGACACGTAAACTTCAAAGAGAAGTCAGCTTCATACATAATACGAGGAGGAAAGGATTCAATTTCTTCCTTGTGGCTGTTTTTACACTAGAACATTGGAAGCAGGCCCACTAGCCATCGATACACAGAGCCAGCCCTACCATTAGGGTGAACAAGTTGGCTGAGTTGGGTAGCAAATCCTAGGGAATGGGTAACAGTGGTGAGATGTTGGAGCTGTGTCTTCCACCCACGGTCTGATCTGGGTCCCTAAAATGGGCACTGCACTAGAGTGTAGTTTGAAGTCACATTCAAATGCCAGTCCTATTGGCTTTTGGACAAGGAGTGGGTTTGTGGGGATGTGCCATTTTGTCCTTTGCTTTGGACAACAGAATGGCTTGGGATGGCTCAGTCTGTGTGACCATTATTACAGCTTTCTTCTAGCATTGAAAGGAGGTCTGGGCTGAGAATTGAACCAGGTTGGAAACTGTACTCATTGCCAAATGAGTGAAACATTGACAGATGAATTTTCATCCCCAAACACACCTCTGTTGGGTATTCAGTCTGCCCTTGCCAAATTTAAAACAAAAAAGGGAGGACAATGACTCTTAAAAACCAAAAGGTTTTGCTTTTGAAAAGAGCCTCTTACTCCTTTCTGAGTCCTCCCCCTCCTGTTTTTTCACCACCTATATATCTGAAAGCTAAAAAGAGCCCTTCTCTTCCCTTCCGCCACGTAACAATGGAATCAGCTTAGCAAATTTAAATAATTTTATGTCAAATATGCCTGTCTGAGGCTGTAATTTGCATGCTGGATTTCTAGTCAATGCCATATGAAGCAGCCAAGATACCTTATCTCGCCCTGAAAGCTCGCATTATAAGAAACTAGTAAAAAAAAATATTACATACACTTTGCATAGCAAAGAGAAGTTGGTGAGCAGCCACATTTGGCCATTTGACATGGAGGTGCCCTGGATGGGTTCTAAGATGGGTACATGGTGGGCTGTTGAAGTGAAATTCGGCCTTCCCATTTTTATTTGTTTTTTTTTCCCCCAGGGACAGCTTTGTTTAAAGAACTGGTCAAAACAGAACAGGCTTTTTAAAAAAATATGTAAAGCTGCGCTCCTGAACTCACATGTGGACTTGTTGATGCTGTTGACTTTGTGGAAACCCTGAGTTTGTAAATATGTTCAAGGACTCTGTTTTCATGCTGTCATTTTACCCTTGGGAGCCAAGTGCAAATATACGGATGTAACCACGTTTTGAATGGGTTTCTCTTGGTTTTAGAGGGAGGGGGTCTATCTCCTAGAAGTTCTCCATGGTTCCATTTTAGACAGAATAAAACAAAATGCACGTAGGATAAGGCTCCTGGTGGGGGCACTATGTTCCCTCTGGGATTTGAAGCGCCATGCCTTTGAATACCAGTTACTGAAGAGTGTGAAGGACGCTGGGGTAAAGCCACCGGCTCATATCCAACTTCTGGGCTTGCCAAAGGCCAGGAATGAGCAGAAGGTAAAGCTGGACTGCAAGGAGAACAAACCTATCAGTTCTAAAGGAAATCAACCCTGAGTGCTCACTGGAAGGACGGATCCTGAAGCTGAGGCTCCAATACTTTGGCCATCTCATGAGAAGAGAAGACTCTCTGGAAAAGACGTTAATGTTGGGAAAGTGTGAAGGCAAGAGGAGAAGGGGACGACAGAGGATGAGATGGGTGGACAGGGTCATCGAAGCAACCAACATGAATCTGACCCAACTCCAGGAGGCAGTGGAAGATAGGACGGCCTGGCATGCTCTGGTCCATGGGGTCACAAAGAGTCGGACACGACTAAACGACTAAACGACGACAAAAGCTGGATCAACCAGTAGATGAGCAGCAATCTCTGATTTTCATGCAGAGGTTGGGAGAAGGTTCGGGGCAGGAGAAGCCTGATTCCCAGAAGCACCCACCCACCACAGCTACAGTTTGCTGTCAGTTATTTGATGACAGCAGCTACAGTATGACTTCCCAGTCAACATATGACCATATCCTGACAGACGCGGCTGAAATGAAAAGAAAGTAGGGGGACCAGGTTTAAGATAGTTAGCGCTGTTCAGTGCCATTCAGTTATGAATACAATTCATGGATTTATAATTCCTTTGTTGGTTTATTAGTTACCTTTCTCTCCCACTGAACCTTCAGTGAACCCAAGACAGTGTGCAAAGCCTTCTTACTTTCTCCTCACAACAACTTTGAAAAATAGGTCAGGTTCTGAGAGAGAGAGATAAAGATTAGCCCAAGGTTATCCAGTTAGCTTTATGGTTTTACTGGGCACCCAACCCCAGGGTATTATGTGAACCACTGCACCTCACTGGATCTTAAATATATTTCAGAATGAAGAACACACTTGATTACGAGAATACATGTGTTGCATCCGGCTCTAATTTTTGCAGCAATGCTCTAGTGAAGCAGCAGCAACTAACAAGATCTTGTAGTCTGGTGACAACTGCCATCCACCTCTTGCTGGCCAGTATGTGAAAGAGAATGTTGCATTCAATCAGCTTCGGGTTTCGTCCAGCAGGGCTCTTCACAAATTCTCACACTGTTCCCAGATTTTGTAGGGTGCCTTGAGTATTCTGATGCAGTTTTCAGTTGCATCAGCTTATTTACATCAGCATTTGCATTAACAAACGTCAAGCAAAAAACAACAACAACCTTGATTTGATTACTCATAGGGTTGAGGCAAGATTCCATCTGATCAGTGTTTTTACCAGTCCACACAAGCTAAGGCTTGTCTCAACTGTAACACAAGCTATGTTGGAGGGGGCTCTTTGCCTGCATGCTCTGGACAGCAGGCAATCATGGGATGCCATCGCATCCCATGTGTGTAGAGGAGGCAGGACCAAGCTGCCTCATTTAAGGCTGCCCAGACCCAGACCCAGCCTCTTTTGAGGCAAAGTGACCCACCTGGTGAGCCAAGCTGATAGACTAATGGGCAAGATAGGAATTGTTGACTCACCAATGGAATTGACTTATTTGGAAGGTGAATGGGAGTTTTTTGGCCTATTCCATACAGGGGTTGGTCATTACTGGGCCCACTTGGGTTGGGTTGTCTGTAAACAGATCACACTGGCAGCTAGTATGGAAGGGAAATCAGTGGTGAGTTCTCAATGGGCGAGCCCAACTGACCTCCCAGTGCTGTGGATCATGGGATTACAGTGCTGGGAGGGGGATGCATGTGGTGCCCCCCCCGGGCTGTGGGCTGCATAGGGTCAAGGATAGCACATATTTGGGACTTGAGAGTTGTCCTATTAGATTTGTAGGGGAAGTCAGGTGGGACCCCTGGCTTCAAGCTGGGAGTCAGAACAGGAGGCTTCAAGTTCAATGTTTAATAAAGCTTTAGCCCTTTATTTCCAGGTTGGGTGGGCAATGTGTGTCTGTCAACAAATCACTGTACAAAACAAATATTGATGTTGGCATACCTGCAGGCATTTCATTGAAGCCTGCTTTTCTCCAGTGTATTTGTCAATACACGTCTGGAGTGCAATACGGAGGGGTGGAAATGGAAAACAAACAAACAAACAAACAAACAAACAAACAAACAAGAAAAAGGAAATGGAAAGCCAGGACAAACTTCACCTGCTCCAGCTCAAGAACTAATTTTAGAAATTCCCTCAAGTTCAACCAGAACTCGGGGAGAGCAGAATGTAGGGCATGGCGAACAAAAAGAAGGATAAGTGAAGGCACTGTCCTGCTTTGGGCAGCATGACAATGCTCAGCGGCTACAAATTAGCAAGGGTCAGTACTGAACTCACAGTATGGAGGCATTTCCAAGATCCAGACTTAGGCTAAGCCTGAGAATGAGGTCTGAAGCAGCGCTTCAGAAAGCGCCTTTTTCGAACTCCATGGGAGATGAGGACTCTGATTTTGCAGGGTCAATTAATCTGTTCGGGCTTTTACTCTGAACTTCCCAGGAGTAATCAAAGGTGCTGAACCCTATCCACCCTGAGTAGGTTCAATGCATTGCACAGTTCCTTTAAAGTTCAAACGAAAACCCTGGGCTAACTCACTGCGCCTGTAAATTTAACAGAGTTGTTAAAAAAAAAAAAACAGAGTTGCTTCAGAGCTTGGACAACAGCTCCCAGGATTCTCCATCCAGCACAGCGACTTGGATTTGTAGTCTAAAGAAGCCGCGTTTCTGAGGTCTAGCCCGAACACAGGAGGGATGTAACAAAATACTAGGCAATGAGGAGGGTGAAACAACCACCTGGGAGCCGGTGATAAACCGTTGTTCCACAATTATTCTTCCCGCTGGCTGTCCCTAGGATGGAAGGCTTTGAAGCCTGATTTTCAAAGCCTCTGCAAAGCACAGCTTAAAGCCAGTGGGGTCATCTGTGAAACGGATCAATTCCTGAGGAATGTTCTGATCACAGGTAATCCCTTACTCATGAGGTCTTCATCTGGTACCTCAATCAAGCTTGTACTTTGGAACGTCTCCTTGGGGCCAGGTAGCCTCTTCCGCTTTGAAGCAGAGGCTACCCATAGCTCAAGAGGAAAGGTTGATTGCCTCTTCCGCTTTGAAGCAGAGGCTACCCATAATTCAAGAGGAAAGGTTGATCCTCCTACAAAGATCCATCTGCTGTCCCTCAAGGCCCCGTGACACAAGCTGTTCTCCTGTAATGTCTCGTATAAGAAGGTCCAGGTTATTGCCCAACAAAGGTTCATTCGGGGAGGGCATCAAAATTTGCTATTTCTTAATGTGGTGTGGAGAAGTGGTGAGACAGGCAAGGGGGGAAATGCTGTTATTTTTTTCCCCGAAGGTAAATCTGCTTCCTTCCAGTTTTGAGGAAGGGATGGCTATTCTGGATCAAAGAAAAAGATCTGTGGAAATCTGTTCCTCTCCATCCTAGAGAGCTGACAAGGACCAGGGAAAGAGGGTGCTTTTCTTTTCTCAGTGAAACAGAAAAGGGAAAATCTTCTTAATTCTAATTTGATGTGGAGGAGAGGCATGAAGGAGAAGATTCTCAAAGAAAGGGAATCCGTTAAATCTGCAGATTTCTAATACAAAGGAAAGAAGGAAAGAATCTCAGTGGAACCTCCAGAATTAATGGGTAGCTCAGTGGCTTAGACATCTGACTGTGAAGCCAGAGGTTGGGAGTGTGATTCCTCACTGTGCCTCCTTGAGGGGCTAGACTTGACGATCCATAAGATCAGGGACGTGGTGGCGCTGTGGGCTAAACTGCAGAAGCCTTTGTGTGCTGCAGGATCAAAAGACCAGCAGCTGTAAGATCGAATCCACGCGATGGAGTGAGCTCCTGTCACTTTGTCCCAGCTCCTTGCCAACCTAGCAGTTGCAAAGCATGTGAAAATGCAAGTAGATAAATAGGTATCACCTCGGTGGGAAGGTAAACAACATTCCGGGCCTAAGTTGCGCTGGCCATGTGACAATGGAAACTGTCTTCGGACAAATGCTGGCTCTACAGCTTGGAAACGGATGAGCACCGCCCCCTAGAGGCGGACACGACTGGACTAAAATTGTCAATGGGAATCTTTACCTTAACCTAAGGTCCCTTCCAGCTCTGCAGTCCCAAGGTGGCACTTGTAGTGGTTATTAAGTGGCAGGAAGGCTTCCCTTTTCCAAAACTCATAAGAAATATCTGCTTGTCTCCAATGTCTAGTGGAGAAATGGTGAGATAGTGAGCAGATGTATCTCCTGTCCCAAAGTTGCTTCTCTTGTCTTGTCGCTCTGCCACATATGTTTGCTGGTGACAAGTCCTCAGCTCCTAGAGATCCATTGTAGGTCTACCATTGAATGGCTTCTGACCTTACATAAATGAGCATGAACCGTGAGGACAAATGCCATTTTTATTCTGATATCTTGGTGCCTTGGCACCATCGATATGTTCATGGAGTAAAAGCAGTTGCTATTTATAAAAATACTAATGGTGAAACAGCTTTTCTCTAAAAAGAAAGAGAGTACAAAATAACACTTTAAGATCCAAGTGCAAGAAGTAAATGCTGGCCCAGGCAAGCTAAGGAAATGAAATTAAATTAAATCACTACTGTTATTTTGCCAAAAAGCAGAACATCATTTCTCGTTTTTAATTGTCACCTAAACAATGAA